ACCGGTAAAAAAAAAAAAAAAAAAAAAAGGATCTGAAAGGTTCTGACCTTAACAGCAATCTCAAAAATCGGGTCGAACAGAGCCGGCGTGCAGAAATTGCGGAGCAGCTGCCAGACGAGTGTTGAGGTCGTTGCTGATGTGGGGACCACATGTGACATGGTCTTCACTTGGACCTTCCCTTGGGCATCGCCGACCGTAATCAGCGCGGAGTAGGGCGGAAAGCGCTCCATCTTCACTTGCACTTGACCGTTTCCAAAGAATGGCCTCATCGGATTCGAACTGCGCATGCCATACCTGTCCACGTTCATTTTGTTTGTTGCTCGTCAGTCCATGAAAATGGATCATCATCATCAGCATCATCAATCAGCTGTCAATCAGCTTTCAATCATTCATCAGTCTACTAGGTACAGGGGGGCATGGATATAATCGATGCTGCTGCGGTGGCGTGAAATGTCTCTCAAAGGGCTTTCACTTCTTTTTTTAATCCAAACTCACTTTCACAATCAATGGTGGACTGATCCACCTCAGAGTCTTTGGTGGAAGGTCGCAGGTTCGCTTCCTAGCCGGTTGATCTTGGGACTCCTTGTATATTTCCAATAAGGGGCCTGCTACAGAGCAGGCCCCTTTTACAAGCAGTTTAAATTTTAAATTGTTCTTTTTTTTTTTTTTTTCCTTTTTCACAACCAACTTTGCAATTCATTAAAAGAAGGATTCAAATTTAAAACTGTTAATCTTCCTACGGAACACGATTGAGCAAACGGATTGACGTGGGCTCCTCACGCAACTTAGGCAAGATCATCCGGAATTTCCAGATAGAAATTGGATTAAAGCGAAAGTGAAGTGCATGCTCTTACCATCACTCCTATCTGTTTTAAAGTTGGTTGTTAAAAAAAGGGAGGAAAAAAAAAAAAAAAAAAGGAGTTAACCTGCGAAGGTTTCACTGTCTCATCCCCCTCAATGTGCACGTGCTGTCTTTGTAATATCGGGGCCGTGGTCCCATTAGCAAAATGCATCGGATTAAATGCCTGAATCTGGATGTGTTTGAGGACAGGAGCAGGAAATCGCGATAGAATTGCTTTTCTGTATCTCTGCATAAAACATAGCCAGATTCGGGATTTCTATCCTATCCCCTTTGCTAGTGCGACCACGGCCCAGGTGTGAGAGGAGCCTCCTGTGAAACGGTTTGCTCGATCGGATTTCCATCGCAAGAGTAACAATTTCTTTTTTATATAAAATTTAATTTGGAACATTTCTTGGTTTATTTATGTTTCATCCTTGCACAGGGGCCATGCTCATCTTCTTTCTCTGTATCATTCCAATTTTAACAGATATGGCAAAGGACTGAAGACTCAGTGACGAGTAACTATCGTCGTTTTTTTTTTTTTTTTTTTTTTTTTTTTTTTTAATTCAATAATTTTTCAAGTTTTATTGTTTTTTTTTTTTTTTTTTTTTTTTTTTTTTTTTTTTTTTTAAACCACAAAGTTCACATTGTCTCATCAACCTCATTTGCGCATGCTGTCTCCGTAACTTTCTGACTCAACATGTCGCTCAAAATAACTCTTCTTTTACTCTTCTTTTACTTTTCTTTTACTTTCTTTCTCTCCTGATGTTGAGAAAGGATACAACCGCAGCCTCATGTTATCATGATAATGGACTTCCTTGCTTTTTCCCAAAAAAAAAAAAAAAAAAAAAAAAAAGGATACAACCGACACGGTTGGACCGACCAACCTAGGCTACCAGAGTGGCCCGGGGTCACTTGCCCGGCCGGGCTATATTTTGTTTTTCAATTTGGTGAAGAATTTCGATGTAACCCTGAGGCAAATTTTGTTCAGTTTATTTTTCTGCATAACATAGTTTTTTTTTGGATTTTTTTAATTTTTGTTTTCTTTTTGTTTTTTGCTGGGACCTTCCTTGGTCCTTGCACGGGCTGGCCACCCGGGACCCGGGCGGCCCGGCTGGTAGCCTAGCGACCAACAGTATTCACTTCATGAACGACATCAAATAGAGGGGAAGGAAGAGGATAATCCGAACATCCATGTCACACACACCGAAAGAGAAGAAGGCCACGCGAATCCCGAGCACCCATCCGCAGCACATTCTAGCCCTCCAACTCCAGGCCCGGACATCTCATGATGCTTGGAATTAACTTCAATTAAGTGTTCTTTTAGTTTTCTTTTGTCCTTATGCGTGCCTTTTCTTTTTGTTTTTTCTTTGGCTTTCCTTTTTTTTTTTTTTTTTTTTTTTAATGCGTGCCTCTCTAGGCTACCAGAGTGGCCGGGACCACTTGCCCAGCGGGGCCAAAAAAGAATTAAATATATATCGTGAAACAGAGCTGCCTCTCTAGGNTGGCCGGGACCACTTGCCCAGCGGGGCCAAAAAAGAATTAAATATATATCGTGAAACAGAGCTGCCTCTCTAGGCTACCAGAGTGGCCGGGACCACTTGCCCAGCGGGGCCAAAAAAGAATTAAATATATATCGTGAAACAGAGCTGCCTGGTACACTGTAGGCAGAGAGGGAGAAGAGGACAACAAACAAGGGGCTGTGACAAACAGTTTCGTCGGAGTTTCACCGAGTCATCAGGAGGTACTAGGCTACCAGAGTGGCCGGGACCACTTGGCCGTCTGGGCCAAAAACGAAAAAAACAAAAGTACTAAAATAGAATATATATTATATATTTAAAATTTGGTAAAGAATTTCGATGTGACCCCGAGGCAAACGCTGCGTTGCACCGGTCCATTTTTTAACTCTACGGGCGCTTGGAGCATCATAAGGAGGGTGACGCCTTCGCGCTTGAATACCGCCGTTGCATCCCGCCTGTGGGCCCTCCTCCTTGCCAGGTTGGTAAGCATGGGTGAGATTTGGACGGTGTTCTATTCCCCCCCCTCCCTTATATCGAAATTGCAACCAGGTCAGGGCATTCGCGCCTGGTCTTAGATATGGAACCCTTATGAGTATACTGCTGCTGTGCTTGTCTTCCTCGGTGTTGGAGAGGTTTCCGGATGATTGTGCTGCTGTTGACTTAACCAAGACGGGATTTCGACTGCATTTCGACACGTGGAGCATTGAGACTTCGGCTTCCTTTTCTGATCGACTTGTGCCAAGTGTTTACGACTCTTCTGTGGTATACTTGTATTTGTCACACACACACACACACACAGACACACAGAGAGAGAGAGAGAGAGAGAGAGAGAGAGAGAGAGAGAGAGAGAGAGAGAGAGAGAGAGAGAGAATTCGTGGTTTGGCAGAGGTTGTTCAAAGCGGTGGGCCCTATGCTACCAGCCACATTAGGTCTGCTGCTTTTGATTACCTCTGCCTGAGCGGACCTCCTGCTTGCGCCCGATTAGCGTGTGAAAAACGGAAGGATACGCGATACTTGTGTCCACAAATACACATACACAGAGAGAGAGAGAGAGAGAGAGAGAGAGAGAGAGAGAGAGAGAGAGAGAGAGAGAGAGAGAGAG